AATATTTGAAATAAGGATTGATATTTAAAATAATTTAAATGTTATGATTGTATTGTGTATATAGACTGCAGACACCGTGAAAATAGTCGTTCCGATGATTTATCGCTCAATTCATATAATAAAGTATCAAAAGGAGAGTCACTATACGATCAACAGAGGGTTCAAATATATTATCCAAACGGCTATCCGGCTGTTGGGGGACACGGAGGCAGTGGTAGCGGACCCGTTGGGGGTCAGCAACAGTCGCAAGACTGTAATCACCAAATACAGCATCAAAGCCATCACATCCAGGGAGGGGCTGATGTGGAGTGTGGCGGAGGTGTGGGCACAGCGCTGGTCGAGCCGTCCAGAATGCGCCGAATGGGTCAGTTCGGGTATATGGAGCACGTCTATGATGTGCCGCATCGTATGCGTGAAAAGCAAATGGTAAATAATTAACTGTAGTTTCTTAACTATGATATCGATAATGCTTTCATGACATGAATTTTAATTCATTTGAATGTGTGTTAGTAAATTCATGAATTGATTGTTCATGATGTTGTTTATAGCCGATTTTATGGTTTATTATAAGGGGTGTACCCATTATTCTCGGCCTATAATTGAGTGGAAAACTGTTTTAGTCTATTATACACTTTGTATATAAAGAGAGATTTGAGCCCTAAATCGAGAGGTCTATCGTCTATTGCATACAAACGTGGAAATAACGGGTCGTTTAAATAATGGGATAATTTTTATTTTATATTCTCAACCAAATTAACTGATCCCTTGCCAGCCATTTGGTGTTCAGCAGTAAATGCGCTATTGATTAGTATTAATGTGTGTTTTTTGTGTTGGTTTGAAATGTGTTTTAGGGACAGACAGTGAATGAGACAAAGATATCGAGTTATTCAATGCTGTGGACGCAACCAAACAGCAAAGATTTGGATGATTGCGGTCAACAACTGGAGGAAAACGACTCGAATAGTAGGTACAGTCGTGAGACATAACCCTTACCATTGAGTGCCACCTGTGCTCACCATATCATACAATACCCGACCGAAGAATATAATATAATATAAATCTTTTTTATACCACTCGCGAGAGTTTGTATTTTATTTTTATCGAGAATCACATAATCGTTAAAATTTTTATCCATTTGTTTACTACAGGTTTAATAGAGTCAACAGAATTGGCCAACGCTTTGACCAACACTAGTATCAGGTGCTTATAATTGATTATCTCATTCTCTCCCTCCATGTTATTTCGTTAAGACATCATTAATTATATCCTGTAATCCATACCAAAGGGTTTTATCATAATCCTTATAATTGCCAATTTGTTGTTCAATAGTAATTTAAACAAGGATATTAACTTAATTAACGGTTTTTTTTATAAATTAAAATTTGTTTGCTATCTTAATTTAAATTACATTTTCTTGTGAAGAATGTAATTAATAAAGTATTTCTCTGTCTTTAATTTGTGGTCCATTTTTGAATGGTTTATAATCACAACAATTCTCTCCACAAATACTATTTTATGCAATTTATTTAATAATACTTCTATAATTAATTCCACTTTTATTAATATATATTTATATATTACAGTATATGATGTGATATAAAGAATAGTACAGTGTATAGCACTTTGTGGTGGCAGTACTTTGAGTGCCACAAATTTTGGATAAGAATTTTTTATTTATCTTTTTTGTTGTGATAATAGGAAAGGCGAGCGAAAAAATGTCTTAAATTAATTCAATTATTTATTTTGCTTTTATTGTGTGGCCTTTTTGTGCACAGAATTCTCATTGCATTTAATTAATACTTTCCCTATATATTGAGCCAATACTATATTATACACACTCGCCATCCGTATTGAGAATTCAGTGTTTTATTTATTGATCACTGAATTAAAGATGAATTAATTCTTTATATAAATTCTTCATATATTATATGTTTATTTCACGAAACAAAGTATGCGATTAAAAGTTTGCTCGCATTGTGTGTCGCCTTTCAATTGTATTGTATTTTCTTTTATATACAAACTTTTATTCTTTGCACTCAATTC